CACAAGGATATGTAGGCAGCCTCTGAAGCAAGGTTCAGTCCGACTCTTTTCAAAAATGCTTCTTATGGAGTTTCCAACGGGCAAAAATCCCTCATAGTTGCTCATTCTGTCTTTGCCCGAAAATCCTTCGTGTTTCCGAGCAAAGAGGGGCAGTTGTTAGCATGTGATTTTTGCCCCATGCGAAATACTCCTATAAAATCCCAAGAAAATAGATGTTTTGTTAATTATTTGCCATTTTAGGAATTTTTGTAGAATTTTCTTTATTATTTGCATTTTTCTGTGCATGTTTAATCTATTCAAATCATGAAAAGAATACCAAAATATCATGCATTCGCATTTAGGATTTGTTTTTGCATTTCTAGAATTAATCAGTATTTATTTGTTTTATAAATTTTGAAAATAACAAAAAATTGCTCATTTTACATTTTTATCTTTTAATTTATTGGTTATTCATTTTTATTTAGAATTAAATGCTGTTGGTAATTTTTATAATTTAAATAGTTTAATTTCACATTTTAGGTAATTTAGGATTTTTAATTGTTAGGATTTTTTAATTAAAAAAAGAGAAAAAAGGAAAAAGAAAGAAAAAGAAAAGAATTTGAAAATAAAAGAAGAGGGTATTAATTTTTCGGAATTGGGTCTCCAAACCAGCCCAAATTATGTCCCAAACCCGACCAAATGCACCCCAAAACCCAAGCCCAACACTAATTTACCCGGTCCAGCCCCGTTCAATCCCAAACGACCCCGTTTCCTTTAAGTTTTATCACAACCGTTGGATTTCTATCATCCAACGGCTCGGAACTGATTTGTCACCTACTATAAGACTGTCCTAAACCGGCCTACCCCCCCCTCCCCAAAAACCAAACCCTCTCACTCTCCATCTCTCTCTGAAAATCACCCCAAACCCTAGCTGCCTCACAATCCCACGCCGCCTCCACCGTGAACCACCACCGGAAATCACCTCACGGCGGTTACGGTGGTCCAATCGCCCTCAAAATTACACCCTGAGACCACCACAACCCCTCATCCCAAATCTCAACTCTAGTTCCTTTGAATCACCCCCGAATCCTTCGGATTTTGAATCAAAGGATCCGGCCAAAACCCTATTTGCTCCAAATCATGCCAAATTAACATCTTACAACCCTTACCCCTCTCTTTGCCCTAAGCAACCTTTAGCCCTATCCAAATCGGTTCCTATTTGGCCGAATTTCAAATCCCAGATTCTGTTAAACCCTAACTATTCCCCTTTTCGATTTTTCGGTCAATTTTTTTGGGGTCAAGTGAACCAAAACCCCCATTAATCGACTCTTCTTGTTGAAGAACAGTCTATTAATGTTGGTCAACGTTCACTTACAAGTTGAAGATTTGGGAATGAGTTCATAGTTTGGACCAGTTTTGAAATTCCGGTAAGTCCTTTCTTTTCTCTTAATTTATTCGATTTTTGTGTTGTTTCCTCTCTGCATGTCTGAGTGTTTTGGTTTAGCAGCATAATTTTGGGTCTTTCTTTTAGTTTTGGATTTTTCCTCTGTTTTCTTGTTTAATTCATCCTTGTTCGAAAGCATGTTAAGCAATGGCATAGGTTTAGGTTTATTTAGGTTAATTGTTAGCTTTCATGGCCTGATCCTATTTGATTCTTTGACTGTTACCATTTCTGCTATCAATATCCATATAAGTTCAGGCTCACTTAGGGTTTTTGTTGAATTGTTGTTTTGTCTTGTTTTTATGTTCATAGTTGTCTGTTCATCTAATTTTTAGTTTTTGATTAGTTGTTTAATCAGTAATTGTTTATGTTTCTATGCCAGAATTACATGAGTTAGGTCTAAATAGGATTTTAATGAACTAGGTTCCTTGATTTTGTTTAAACATTCCTTTCTACTAGTTTTAAAGTTAGATTTTTGTGGTTGGTTGATTACTCTGTTTGATTTGTATGCCTGATCAGTTTAGATTCTAGGGTTTCTTTATGATTGTTGTAGTTAGCTAGGAGGAACAGACTTTTAATAATAGATAGGCTAATTCAAATTACAGTAGTGTTTTTTTAATTTTCCATTGTTTTATTAATATCTGCTGCATCTTCTTGATTTGTTTCAAGTTTTTTGCCCTGATGTGAAGATCAGTAGAAACTTTAGGGACCCATTTGAACTAGAAAAGTTTAGGTAACAAGGGTAAAAAGGGGTTTTCACTTGAGCTAGAAATCAGATTGTCCTAGCTGTTATAAAATGTGCTGAAATATAGGACAACTGTACCGAGGGCTGTTAAAAAGGACTTTACTATTATTCCCTGGGATAAGGAATATGCCTAAAAGATACCCTTCCCTAGGCAGCCTATACATAAATAGGTCCTCTCATTCTGATTTACAGACACACACCCAAATTTTCATACAGATTTTTTCATCAGCAATTTTTCTTGAAAAGTTCTATTTTTTCTCTGAAAAATTCATATTCTAACAGCTTTGAAAAAACTCCAAAAAAAATCTATTATTCCTTCAAAGCTTGAAACATGGTTTAGAACTGAAACTCTCTTAGTCTTCTTAGCTGAATCTTTTGGATTTCAAGTTGGTTCTGAGTTTTCTGATTTGAATCTCTGGATCCTTTTGGTGCTGTTGCTGTTGGTTCTTGCTGCTGAACTCCAGTTTGTTCAGAGAGATTTGCCTTTACTTGTTTATTTTGCTGAAAAGGTACACATTTGGAACTCACATGCTTGACCTAGGGTCATTTGGTTTATGTAATCTATGTTCTGATGTTTGAATGCAAAACTTTCACTTGCTGAGTATCTTTTTTACTGTCTTCATCTTATTCATGCCTTATGATCATGATTCATCAAATGTATTAAGCTATTACCCCACTAACATGGTTGAATACTTTACTTAGCTTAAGTTCTTTTATGTTTGAAAGAATGCAGAATATATGAACCTGAACTCGTAAACACTGAAATAGCTTTTTATTGTTCTTTTAGTTAATGTTAAGGTTACACTGGTTCAAGGCTTTTATATGAACTAATGGTTGTATTATCACTGTTATTTGTTGTGTTAGCATGTGATATGGCCATAAGGCCAAGTTGTGAATTTGTGAGAGACTGTTCCATAGCTGTTCTCTCGCAAATACACACATTGTAAGAGAAGATTTGAGGGCAAAAGGGAATCAGAAGTTAGAATGAGGAGTATTTTTGAGAATTTTTAGGCAGTAGCATGATAAGTAGTAAAAGATGATTTTTATATATTCTGGGCTTTCAGTATTGTAAATGGACTTCTATAACTTTTAAAATTAGTTTTCTCTTTTCTTGGTTTGTTTAGTATTGGGTCATTACAGTTAAGATCCATTGTTTCATTTGATGAACATGTTTTATAGCTGCGATTGGGCCAGGCTTACAGCCAGGCCCAAGTTGGGATCCACTCGAGCAAAATCGGGGGTTTAGGCTATTGAGTTTGGGCTTTAAGCCCAGTAGTCTAATAAGTTGTAAAATGCCTCTCCTGAATTGTGGTATAAATGCATGACTTTGTTATTTTTCTTCTGCAAATCATAGTAGTATGATGAAACTTCGAATTTGAATTGCGTATTTCGTGAAGTTTCATTTTTTATTAAGTGAACCATGTTCCTTGCTTTTCTTTTCTTTGGCAATTTTGGTTAAAGTTTTAAAAATGCAAAGAGGTGGATAGGCCCAGCCGGTGCCAATGCATAACTGGGCCCGCATAGAATTTAAGCACAACGTGGGCTATTTGTCTCCGAATCAACAATTGTATTTTTAGGCATCTAACTTCTGGGCCAATTGTGAGCCCAAATTTCAGCTCTCAAAGCTGATTCGTTAGCTGGCTGTGACTGGCCCATTCCCCTTGTCCCAAAATAATTAAAAACCCTTCATAATTAGTTAGCCTCGGTTAAGCTTAAAATTAGTCTCAAATAGGACTATCCTAGGTGACCTTAATTGAATAAGCTTTTCTCCTCAAGAAAACCATTTGAGTTGTGCCATGTTGAATAAAACCCCCTTAAGCCCATGTCCCTTGTTTAATTAATAATAACTCTTTAAAATCGGGGTGTGCCATTAGTAAATTTTCCATGGCCCTCGCAAACATTGTTGTAATTTAAGCCAATTGTAGTTTGCTTTAGGCTTGATTTAGATTAGTATTGCGATTATGTATACGGTCGCGTAACATAATTGCAAATTTGACTCTATAAAAAATAGAAGACTCGAGGGATGCATTCGCACAACTTCAACCAAACTTTCTTAATAAATCAACAAAAGCGTTATTAATCGTGGACACGTTCATGATTTTGTCGCGCGAAAAGAAAAGAGTATACGTACGCGTAACTCAATTCATTAATTACGAATAATTCAAGTGATTTAAAAGCCGTAAAAAGATAAATGCATATAGGTCCTAAAAATAAGTAGTTAACCAATTTAACCCAAGTAATAATCACTAAGCAACCGTGCTAGAACCACGGAACCTGGGAATGCCTAACACCTTCTCCCGGGTTAACAGAATTCCTTATCTAGAATTTCTGGTTCGCAGACTCTTTAAAAATAAAACTTCCTTGATTTAGAATTTAAAATAAACTAGTGACTTGGGACACCGAATAAACTATCCCAAGTGGCGACTATTAATCCCATTTTGAAAAATGGCACTTTAATTGGAAAAACTCCCTTATATACTCCCTCTCGGGGTGTGTAAAAAAGGAGGTGTGACAGTGGTTATAAAAATACGTGAGTTATTTTTATGCTAGTTGTTAGTCAATAGATGCTAAGCGTGTGACCAAAAACTAAGATAAGAGCTTGAAGATAATGTAACAAGCAAGCCGAGCAATTGGAAATTGGGGCCTCGAGCTGGCTTATACGGGGCCTCGAGGTCGAGCTGAATGCTTAGCTAGGGGCAGTCAGTGAAGGGCTAACAATTCTAAGATCTTTGATGGTGGCTCTTTATGATCAATAATGAGCAATAAATGAAGAACAATCAATGAAATACAATAAATGTAAGTAATAAATGTAAGCAGTAGAATCAAGAGAGAATATGTTTAAGTTAGAGAGCAGAGAATGTTCTTGTTCCTGTATTCAATATTTTGTTGTATATGCCTTACAAAATGACAGGGATCCCCTTTATATATGAGGGGAAATCCCAACATGGTACAGATGCATTTATTACAAAGATACGCGGCTGATACAACCATTTAATGCCACGGTACGGGCTTGTACTAGCCTACTAGACTTGGTCAGCTTTAATCACATGGCTGGTGAACTTCCCGTTTTACCATCATAACCATCGATTTATATTGCTCCGAGGTCGAACGTTGGGAACCTTCATGGTCGAACCTCGAGCCGTGCCTCGAGCCTTTAGAGACGTGCTTGAGAAGCATCATAATAGCCATAAAATCGTACCCTCTGATTTTTACCGTATACACAATAGAATAATATAATGTACATACAAGACTTTTGAATTTAATATTATTCCAAAGCAATTAATAAAATACTTAACAATTTTTTCATGTCTAATTTTTACCACCTGTAACATGTCTGTTACCAATTCTGGAACGAACACTTTGTCTTTCAGCAGCAAGGCTCTTGATATTGTTGCAGTCTAAACCTTCTTCATCTTCCTTGCAAATATTAGCAAAAAGACCAATAGGGTATTTTCCATTTAGATTAATGTAATAAAACATACTATCAGCACATCCATTGTCTACATCATTTATCTCGTTTGTGTGTTTGCAGGCTACAATCTTGAATGCATTGCAACATATTGCTGCATTGTATTGTGGTCCTTTGCATTGGCTCGTAAGGGGTCTGTAGTCTTCTTTCTCAAAATTAATGGGACAATTATCCTTGATTAAATATTGTTGAAGAAGGCCACGACCCTGCACGTGAGACTCAAGCACATCGTCTGCTCAAACACAAAGGGAATTTAGTTAAACTGACAAGTTGGGGTCGGCTGTATGAATCATCACTGATCATGTTGCTCCATATAAACTGATTTCTTGCTAATACTATATAAAATAAAAATAATGAAAATTAGATTTTTTTTAATGTTTTCTACTAACATCCCTCCGCCCCAATTTATGCGGCAGAGTTTGGATTTTGAGAGTTAAACGAGTTTTTCTTTGATCATAATTTTATTCATATGCCTTCTAAATATTTTGAAATGTAATTATTTTAACTTATAGTACGTTCTACATAGTTTCTAAATATATAAATTTTGTTTAAAAGACTTAAAGATCTATGTACGAATTCATATAAGAAATTTGACTCTCCAAATCCGAGCTTCACCATATTTTGTTTCAATTTGGTGTTAATAAACAACAAATCGAAAACAACTTTACTATATTTCTTTTTAGAATAAGTTCCTAGTAAACAAAATAGAAAGTAACAAAACCCCAGATATTTTTCCATAAGAAATTGAATGTAAAGAAAAAAGGAACTTAATTTAACAGGGAAAAAATAATTTTTGAAAGTGTTGCATATTGAGTAATATCATGAACAAGTGCATTAATTGAAAGAATTAAAATGCTTGGAGGAATTTAATTACATTTGATGAAGGAGGGGGAAGAGGAAGCCAAGCCAACAACAAAGAAGAAGAGGAACAAGAGGAAGCATGATCTTTCAAACCCCATTGTTGCTTCTCTTCTTCTTAATTTGGTTAGAGTTTAACTCTTATTTAATCTCTTTTTTTATTCTCGTAATTGTAATGTCTTTTTGAAATTTATTTTTAATTTACAAGGCAGACAAAGATTTACCATAACAAACGGAAGGCAATGAATGAAGAGAAAATCAAGACAAGAGACTCGGAGAAAGAAAGGCTGAGAATTTCGTTGCCTTGACTATTAATCATATTGACTATGAGTAAATATCAATTGCTATATCATTTTTGGTGATGCGTGTTTCTGGATTTATCTTGGTTGTGTTATTTGGAACAAAGCAAAATTAATATTCAACTATCTGGAGCAATTCAAGACCAGTAGTTCTCAATTTAGGAAAGAACAAACGATAACAATGTTAGAAAAATAGTTGATAATATTGACCAACAACAATAAAAGAATAGAAATAACTTATTGAACAAATATTGTATCGTGATAAGCCATTTTCTTGAAAGCGATTTTAATCTGACTGGGTGCGAATCGTTAAGACCGGTCGCTCCCAAGGTTCCACGGTACTTCCAATACGTGCACTCATGGCAGAAAGTTTGGAGTTTGCAAAAAAGAATTGCCCACGAAACATAGGAAGACGAATAGTATTTTGAGAGGATGTGAGAATAATATTTTTTTGGTTGGTTATTTGGTTCACAAATGATGATGTTTATATAGGCAAATCATCTACGGGTTCTTCCATCAGAAAAATATAAGAATCAAATAGGAGTTAATAATATGTAACATTATTCTTGTCTTAGTGACAAATTAACATAGAGACAGTAACTTCAAACCTTCTGAAAAGTTAATATCTTTTCACAAACAAAGTCACAAAAAATTAAAAAACAGTCATATGAATGAATGTGAACCATTTATGAAGTAGTAACTTCATTCTCCCACTCTGCATATACATACAATCTAGATATGTTACAAAAATTAATGGTGAAGAGGGATGAGAATTGACCACGGATTAATTGTGGATTAGAAGTTCCTTATTCTTTACATTATCAAATTAGAGTATAACGCTTAAAGAGGAATAATACCAACGACCCCCCACTAATGCAAAGATAAAGAATAAGAATAATTTCTGGACAAAATGAAGGAACATGTACTTAAGTGTCAGTATATTTCTATTTGAATTGACACGTAATGAAATGAGGCAACGACTAATATCCACAAAGTGAAGTACTATTGAACTAAATGGACATGAGTTGAGACCCCCACAACACATACTATATCCTTAGTATTTATGCAAACTCCGCGATACTAAGAAAGTGCTTTTATGGTCATGCACATACCTTGAGTCTCATGACTGCTCTAGAAAGACATCGCAAGTCTTTCATAAAAGGTGACCGCACCTTTACACTCACGTAGGTGATTCCATCAAGTCTATCAATATTGAGACCACCTTAAGGCTATGGAATCTTTAAGAGAAACAATCGACTCAACTTTATAAAGCACTACCACATACCATAGGAATAGGAAATGTAGTGCATATTAAAGTCTCATATGGCTTCGTTTGACCACAAATGGATATCCACCATACTTCCTCAATCCATGGGCTTTAGCCCCATCCCCTTAAATGTTTCAAGGACAGCTTTCCTTGGTAAACCCTTGGTTAAAGGATCCTTCAAATTTCATTCGGATCTTACATATTCCAAGGAAATAATACTATGTTTCAATAATTGTTTCACCGGACCATGTCTAATGCTGATACGTCTTCTTTTCCCATTGTACACACTATTATTTCAAGTTTACTAAGCTCTTTCCTGTTCTGTTCAGTGGTGCACCTTCTAAGTACCCATAGGATTATCTTGACCACTCCCATGAGGTGTTGTACACTATGGGTATAGTTTAGCCCAAAGGGATCGATTTTGATGTGTTTCAGATGACGGCTCTCGCCAAGAACTAGTGGATAGATTTCATGTTGACAAGACCAGCTGGGTCGCTTGCTCGTACTTGGATCACTTCTCTCAGCTATTTCTAGAGAAATTCCTTTCCTGTCACACTAAGAGAGGATTACTGCAGGTAGTTTGAGCGTCTCCAGCAGGGCCGTGTGATTGTTACTCAGTACGAGACTCGTTTTGTGAATCTAGCTCGTCATACCCTTATCTTGCTTCCTACTGAGAAGGAGAGGGTGAGGATAATTATTGATGGACTCACATACACTATCAAGCTATAGATGGATAAAGAGACCGGGGGCGATATTTCCTTGCAGACGGCTACAAATATTGCTAGGCGGATCGATATAGTTATTGCTTAGGAGAGGCGGTAGTTCTGATAGGCAGATAAGAGGCCTTGTCATTTCGATGGTTTTAGTGGTGCCTCGTATGGAGGCAGGAGTACTTTTGGTAGAGATCATCCTCCTAGAACGTTTCAGTTAGCACCTGAGGCATCTCATAGTGCTTCCAGTAGTTGCGGACCTTCTGTGTCTCATCCCGGCCAGCTAGCCTATAGTGCACCTCCACTCCACAGTTGATAGGGTGGTTACTCAGGTCGTCAGGGTCAGTAGTCACAGCAATCGAGGGCCTCTTATTCTTATGGTCATCCTAGGAACATTACTAGATTTTGCCGTAGGACGCCGGGCAGCACACAACAGCAAGGTTCTTATGCCATGGTTCCAGCACCGGTTGCTTCACCACCAGCTCTGCCAGCTAGGCAGAGGTCAAGAAGCCAGAGGTTGAGGTCAGGCCGTTAGAGGTGGAGGTCAGGCCGTTAGAGGCGGAGGGCAACTATTTTGAGGTCGTCCATGGACGTGGTTCAGAGTTGTGGAGCCCAGCCCCGATGTTATGCTTTCCCAACCAGGCGTGAGGCTGAGTCATCTGACGCTATAATCACAGATATTTTTTCTATTTTCCGTAGAGATGCTTCAGTTCTACTTGATCCGGGCTTTACTCATTCCTACGTGTCATCCTGTTTTGCTTCATATCTGGTTGCACCTCGTGATTCTTTGAGTGCTCATGTGTATGTGTCCACACCTGTGGGAGATTATAGTATTGTAGATTGTGTCTATCATTCGTGTGTGGTTACTATTTGGTATGGATTGGTTGGCATTTTGTCATGCTATGTTGGATTGTTACGCCAAGATGGTGACTTTAGCCTTGCTAGATTTGCCTCGATTAGAGTGGAGGGGGACTTTTGGCCGCTCCAACTGCATGGTTACCTCTTATGTTAAGGCTTGACGTATGGTCGAGAAGAGATGTCTAGCTTATTTGGCTTATGTCCGCGTTTCTAGTGCGGAGGTTCCTTCCATGGATTCAGTACTAGTTGTTCGTGAGTTCCCAGTGGTATTTCCTGCAAATCTGTCGGGGATGCCACCCAACAAAGATATTGAGTTCTGTATTTATTTGGCTCCGGGCACTCACCCTATTTGTATTCTCCCATACGGTATGGCCCCACTAGAGTTTAAAGAATTGAAGGAGCAGTTGCAAGATTTGCTTGATAAGAGCTTCATTAGACCTAGTTTCTCGCCTTGGGGTGCGCTCGTATTGTTCGTGATGATGAAAGATGGATCGATGAGGATGTGCATATATTGTCAATAGTTGAACGAAGTCACCATCAAGAACAAGTATCCATTGCCGAAGATTGATGACTTATTTGATCTTCTTCAGGGTGCCAAGGTGTTTTCGAAGATTGATTTAAGGTCTGGCGATATCAATTGAAGATTAGGGCATCCGATGTCCCTAAGACAGCTTATCGGACTCGGTATGGGCATTATGAGTTTCTAGTTATGTCATTTGGGTTGACAAATGCCCCAGCAACATTTACGGATTTAATTAACCGAGTGTTCAAGCCCTACATGGATTCCTTCGTGATTGTATTTATTAATGATATCTTGATCTACTCCCGCATTCACGAGGTGCACGAGAAGCATCTTCAAATTGTACTTCAAACTCCAAGAGGTAGCCATTTGTATGCAAAATTTTCAAAGTGCGAGTTTTAGTTAGACTTAGTCGCCTTTTAGGGCACGTTGTATCGACATAGGGAATAAAGGTGGATCCTAAGAAGATTGAGGCAGTTCAGAACTGGCCTAGACCCACTTCAGCTATAGAGATCCAGAGTTTCCTGGGTTTGGCGGATTATTACCGCCGGTTCGTGGAGGGGTTTTCATCCATAGTAGCCCCATTGACCAGATTGACCCAGAAGGGTTCCCCGTTCAGATTGTCAGACGAGTGTGAGTTTAGCTTTCGGAAGCTCAAGATTTCTTTGACTACAACACCATTGTTGGTGTTGCCCATAGGTTCAGGATCTTACTCGGTGTATTTTGATGCAATTCGTATTAGGCTCGGTGTAATATTGATGTAGGATGGCAGAGTTATGGCATATGCGTCGCTACAGTTGGAGGTTCATGAGAAGAATTACCCTGTTCATGACTTAGAGTTGGCAGCCATTGTTCATGCGCTGAAAATTTGGAGGCACTATCTATACGGTGTGTCGTGCGAGGTATTCACGGATCATCGGAGTCTACAGTATTTGTTTAAGAAAAAGGATCTCAACTTGAGGCAGACGAGATAGTTGGAGATATTTAAAGACTATGATAATCACCATTTTGTAACCCAGAAAAGCCAATATGGTGGCCGATGCCATGAGTAGAAAGGTAGTGAGTATGGGCAGCCTTGTGTATATTCTAGTTGGTGAGAGACTACTTGCACCAGATGTTCAGGCTTTGGCCAATCAGTTCGTGGGTTTGACGTTTTGTAGCCCAGTCGTGTTCTAGCTTGTACAATTGCTCGATCTTCCTTGTATGAGCGTATCGGAGAGCAGCAGTATGATGACCATCATTTGCTTATCTTTAGGGACACAGTGCGGCACGATGGTACGAAGTAGGTTACTATTGGCGATTATGGGGTTTTACGATGCAGGGTAGTATTTGTGTGCCCAATGTAGATGAACTTCATGAGTTGATTCTTGAGGAGGCCAGTAATTCCCGATATTCTATTCATCCAGGTGCCGCCAAGATGTATCAGGACTTGCGGCAGCATTATTAGTTGAGGAGGATGAAGAAGGACATAGTTGCATATGTCAGCAAGTAAAGTACGAGCATCAGAGACCTTGTGGGTTGCGTGT